AAAAAAAAATCAATGGAAAAATATCCTCAGGTGAAGATTAAAAAAAAAAAGGCTCTGACCGGTTTGGCTCAGTGGATAGAGCGTCGGCCTGCGGACTGAAGGGTCCGGGGGTTCGATTCCGGTCAAGGGCATGTACCTTGGCTGCGGGTATACCCCCAGTAGGAGGTGTGCAGGAGGCAGCTGGTCAATGTTCCTCTCTCATCGATGTTTCTAACTCTCTATCCCTTTCCCTTCCTCTCTGTAAAAAATCAATAAAATATATATATATTTTTTAAAAGACAAATATTTAGTAGGGACTTGAATTGGGAGATCTATGAGAATTATACTTGCAGTCTGATCTTTAGATGTTAGTGTAGCCGCAGTGGGTGGAACCTGGCCAGGCTGTGTAAACCCATACTTGTTTGGTTAGGAAGAAAAGAGAGCTCCTTCCTCTCTCAATAAGTAAGGAGGTGAAATAGGGCGAGGACCATATTTTTATAGGACCCCCATCCTTCTCCCCTCTTTGATGGTTTATTTATTTTTTTAGAGGTAATTGTTGTAGGGAACCAGAGTGCATTTAGGGTAACAGGGTCTACGGGAGACTGAGCAGTTCCTCTACCCCAGGTGCATGAAGTAACCATCCCATCACAGGGTGTATCTCATTGCAGATTCCAGTGAATGTTCCAGGGACGATAAGGCCTGGTGCCTTCAATATCATGGCCCACTGGTCCATGGCAGCATCAAGACTATTACTGTGATCTTTGTTTCTCACACCTTAACCATATTGGGTGCCTCATTTGAGCTCCCAGCCTGGCATACAGAGCAATAGGCCCCACTGTTGGTCATTTAAGAGTATTTACACTTGGGAAAACACCTTTGTATACTGGCCAAAGTTGGTTTTCTAGTTAGTAAGTTAATCTGTTAAGGACCCCATTTTTTAAAAAATATATTTTTATTGACTTCAGAGATAAAGAGAGGAGAGAGAGACAGAAACGTTAATGATGAGAGAGTATCATTGATCGGCTGCCTCCTGCACGCCCCACACTGGGGATCAAGCTCAAAACCCGAGTATGTGCCCTGACTGGGAATCAAACCATGACCACCTGGTTCATAGGTTGATACTCAACCACTGAGCCACACCAGCCGGGCAAGACATATCTGTTTTAATTAAACCAACACACTTAAACTAGCTTTAATGACAAATCATGTGATCTCCCCAGATCATGTGATTCTGAGAAAGCATTTGTGTTAATTTCTGTATCTCTGAGAATTTTAGAATACCCAATCCTTAATTTATAGAAGCACTTCATTCCATTAAGCCAACTAAACATAGCTCTTTTACAAGTTAGCAACACCATTTCGAGGTAGAAACTACTACACCAAAACAACACATATATAGACACACATGAACATATGGCTTCTAAAAAAGAGGTGGGACCTGTTCAAAGGAGCTTCCCCACCGCCCACCCCGCCTTTATCTGCCAGTCCCTATGCTAACAGAGTTGTAGACATTCTAACATCTTTTTCTAGTTTCAGTTCTTCCTTTCTAACCCTATCTTTTGCTTCTAGGTGGGCATCTGTGACCAGCCTACAGTTGTAGCCGTGGATTTCCTGCCTTGCCACAGTGCAGTTCCTTAAACAAGGAGACCAGCCAGCATTTTCAAGTCCCCCGTACTCACGTGGCAGTCCACTGTGTCTAGCGTACAGCTCACCCCTCCCCACATAGAGGTCAATGGCCAGGTCGACCCCCTTTACCAAAGCCCATTTCTTTGGTCTCCTGGCGGGCTTGCCAATTGTTAGTACACGCACACCCAGGGGAAAGCCCCAAGACTGAAAATCTACCTCCAAAAGCAGAGGGTGGGGAAAGACCAAAGAAAGCTGCCACTCCTCTCTAATAATAGTTTTCAAAGGGAAACTGACATACAGGTGTGTCTTGAGTGGCTGCAAGCTGAAATTGATCCCCATGGTGCTTGGCAGGTGCCAAAGAATTGTACAGGGTAAAGGGAGGAATAGTCATATATACTGACATGTGAATGCTATTAGGTAGGGGAAATTACTTCACATGCTTGAACGTGTCAGGACAACCTATTCCAGGAACCGGCACATAGCATGAGGCAAAAGAGGGTGATTTGTGTCAGAATGAACATCAAGTACAATCAGAAAGTTGTCTTTTTCTTGGGGGGGAGGGGGGGGGAGCAGGGTTGATTAAGCAATCTCCCTGTTCTAGTCCAGGTTGGCTCTCAGGTCCTACAGCAGTCAAGTCATGGAACAACAGTCTCTTCCCCTCTGGGGGAAGACAGTCTTTCATGTCTTTCCAATTCCCTATCAGTCCATCTAGTTCAATGACATTATCTCACTCCTTTGATAAGAAAATCAAAGCCCTGCCCTAGCCGGTTTGGCTCAGTGGATGGAGCATCGGCCTGCGGACTGAGGGGGCCCAGTTTCGATTCTGGTCAAGGGCACGTACCTCAGTCGAAGTCTTGCCCCCCCATCTCACATTGATGTTTCTCTCTCTCTGTCTCTCCTTCTCCCTTCCACTCTCTCAAAAGATCAATGGAAAAAATATCCTGGGGTGAGGATTAACAACAAACAACAACAAAAAGAAAACCAAAGCCCAGATTCCTCAGGTCAGCAGGGCCACTGTCCTGTCTCCGGCAGCTGACTTAAGGCATGAAGGCTGTGAATAAGCAAGTGAAGCAGAAGGCTCCAGACGGGCCTCACCCCAGGCCTGAGGAAGTGGAGGAACTGGAGCCCTTCCAGGAGAGCACCCGCAATGCACTGAAGGAGAGGTCTCAGAGAACAGCCAGAGTGCAAATCTTTATTACGAACTGGTTTCAACAAGAAAATGAGTGTTTATACCTAGAAACATGGACAGCTCTCCCCCAGCAGCACCCAGGGTGGGGAAGGAGGGCAGGAGTCTATCTAGGGTTTTCCCCTCCCTGCCCCAGTAGAAGTGGGACCCCAGGCCAAGGTCCAAGTTCCTTCCATCCAGCTGGGGGCCCTACGACTACCTCACCCAGGACAGCCAGCAGCTGAGGGCAGGGCAGGAGGCTGAGCGGCTAAGGCCCAGCCCTGGAGGGAGGTGTATAGAGGTCCAGGATGTGACCCCTCTAGGTTGACATCAGTCACCAAGGGGGTGTCATGGGCTGAGGGTTCTGAAGATACGACATCACCACGGCAGAGATGGACAGCCTGAGTGAGACGGGAGAAAGGTGTCAGTCAAGATGGGAAGGCTTGGGCCCTCCCCGCCTTACTTAGGAGTCCCTCCTTCTCCAGGCCCAGCCTCACATGAAGCTACTCATCATCTGCTTAGTGTCTTCAGAGCTCCGGGAGTTGGCGAAGCTGATGAAGGAGCAGTAGACAGCAACCCAAGCGCACCACTTCAGCTGGGGAAAGGTAGGTAGATGGGTGGGTTAGGTCAGTGGAAGACAAGGGGCATTCCCAGGCCCTGGTTCCCATCCCCTGGTTTCAACTGGGGCAGCGTAAACCTTGTCCCCCTGACCCCCAGCCACCCAGAGCCTCCTCCAGGTACAGAGTTGCTGGCCCTACCCCCTGGCCAGAGCCTCTGACCCCACCCTCAGACCTAAAAAGACAAGACTTCGACACAGCCCGTCATGCTCATGACCCCGCTTTCTCCACCATCCCCTCCAAGTGGCTGTACAGTCTGGCCCCACCCTCACACCAACCTCCCACACACCCACCCTGACCCGGATTCCTGACTCCCCGATGGCTTTGGCTTCCTCCGTCCAACGTCACCCCAGCCCCGCCCCTCAGCGCCGGCCCCGCTTCATTCCGAACCCGCCCCTGGCCTGGGAGCCCAGCAGAGACACGCAGCCCTGCCCACCTTCAGCATGAGGCCGCACATGCTGAAGATCATGCCGAGCAGGTTCATGTAGTCCGGCGTCGGGTCGTCCAAGGCCGGGTTACACTCGCTCGGCGGAGGCTTGTACCTGCGGCGGGATTGAGGGTCAGGGGCACTCACGTCCCGCCCCCGGATGGACACGTGCTTCCCTGGGCCCCGACCCACAGTCCGAGACTCGTTCCCACGGCGCCGGGGGTCCCTACCTCAGCACTTTGTTCGGCCTCCGCGGGTCCGACATGTTGTTCGTGGACATAGCGAGTCGGGGACGGCCCTCTTCCGCCGCCGGAGTGGCCCCTTCCGGCGTGGAAACCGACGGTGCTTTTTACAGTCACACCCGCAGCCCTCGCGCTTCCGTACCTAGCGGCGGGGTCCAGGTAGTGGACAGAGAAACCTGGAACCTAGAGGCAGCCTGCAGCAATTGTATTTTCCAACATTACCTCCAAAAAGCCGAAACTGTGATCCCGGAAGTGGGGAACCGGAAGTAGACCGCAGGGACAATAATAAGGTTGCACCAAGCGAGAGACGCTCGGAAACTTCGGTACAGACCGATGGAAGGCGGCGAGGAAGGCATCCCGGAGCCATGTCTTTCCCTGAGCCCAAGCCGCGTGGCCCGGTGCTGCCGCAGAAGCGGTTGAAGACGCTGGACTGCGGGCAGGGAGCGGTGCGAGCCGTGCGATTTAATGGTGAGCGCCCTCGTCTTCATTCCGGGTCGGCCTGTGGCCTCTCGAGGTCGGCAGCCCGGTAACCCCCTCCTGGTCTTCCCAAGTGGACGGCAATTACTGCCTGACGTGCGGCAGCGACAAGACCCTGAAGCTGTGGAACCCGCTGCGGGGGACGCTGCTGCGGACGTACAGCGGCCACGGCTACGAGGTGCTGGACGCGGCCGGGTGAGCCGGGGCCAGGCCGGGAAAGGGGCATTGAGGCGGGGATCCCAGGTCGATGCTGACCTTCCCTCCCCTGCCCTCCAGTTCCTTTGACAACAGCAATCTCTGCTCCGGCGGCGGGGACAAGGCGGTGGTGCTGTGGGATGTGGCCTCCGGGCAGGTCGTGCGTAAATTCCGGGGTCACGCAGGGGTGAGTACAAGCAGAAAGAAGCCTCATTAGAACGTGGGTAGCGGAGGGGACCCGCATTAGTGTGCAGGGGTGACAGGTACCCTCCCACACACATATTAAGCGCATTCACAAGCCCTTGCTTGCAGTACCCTCAAAACCTTTCACCTCCCCTACCCCTAGCTTTTGTCCTCACTTTAATCTGCACTGGGAACCCGGTCTTTATCCCAATCCTTCAAAGACCGGCCACCTCTGAGTGGTAGTTCCTGTTTCTCAGAAGGTGAACACGGTGCAGTTTAATGAAGAGGCCACAGTCATCCTGTCAGGTGAGTGCGTGGCCTAGGCAGGGGCGCCCAGGGGAGCCCCTGCCCCCAAAACCTGACCCCACCTTCATGCTGGCCTCACAGGCTCTATCGATTCCACCATCCGCTGCTGGGACTGCCGCTCTCGGAGGCCGGACCCAGTGCAGAAGCTGGACGAAGCCAAGGATGGTGTATCCAGTGTGAAGGTGTCAGACCATGAGGTCCTGGCAGGGTGAGTGGAGCTAGACCATTGCCCCTCCCCGGTTCCACTGCCTATCACAGCTGCCTCTGTGCTTAAAGTCGACTCTCCTCATGGCCTCCCAAGACCCCGCACAGTCTGGTCCTTGCTGACCTCTCAGCTTCTATGATTTCCAGCCTCGTTTCAGGGAAATATGCCAAGCGTGCTTTACAGCTGCTCTTCCTCTGCTTGGACTGTCTTTCTACTACTTACTGCAAGTGTTTTTGAGCACCTCCCAGGGGCCACTTTTTTAGGCAATGAGCATGTAGCAGTGAATAAGACAGGGAAATAAGGAAAAAGTTCCTGCCCACAGAGTTGATATTTAAAAAAGAAAAAATTCCCATGCAGAGCTGCTCACGTGTTGCCACAGCCCAAGAGAGTGCCATTCCCACCGTGGGGGGAGTTTGGACTGTCCAGCCTGTTGACTGGCCATTCCCACAAGGTTGGCTCCTTCTCGTCCTTCAAGTCCCAGTTCAGATGTCACCTTGGGAAAGACTTCCTATATTACCCTCAGTCAGTGAGGCTCCAGAAATGTCTCCTGGCTTGGTCGAAGCTGTGTCCCAAGCCATCCCTTCCTGCTATAGAATCTGGCCCAGAGAGGATGCTCGGTGCCTATCAGAAACGAATTGAGTTGTTCCTAATGGTCCCTGGGTCTGGGTCTCAAAGACAGTGCCTCAGAATTCCCCTCATGAATTCACTTCAGTGCATGTTTTCTTTTTTTCCTTTTTGTTAATCCTCACCCAAGGATATGTTTCCCATTGATTTTTAGAGAGGGTGGGAGGGAGGAGAGACAGAGAAAAACATCGATGTGAGAGACATCGATTGGTTGCCTTCTGAACTCACCCCTACCAGGGCTGGGGAACTACAACTGAGGTATGAACCTTGATCCAGAATTGAACCCTCGACCCTTTAGTCCACAGATCAACACTGAGAAAACTGGCTAGCCCTGAGACGGGAGTATGACAGTGAGGGGTGCATAGAAAGGATGGGCTCAGCCTTGTCCTGAGGGCCCTGGCCAGGTGCAAGTGTAGAGGGACACTGAGGTTACCTAGAGCCATGGAGCCACTGGTCCCAGTGGAAACTTTAATCGGATCCACCCTCTCTTGCAGCTCCGTGGACGGCCGGGTCAGGCGCTATGACCTGAGGATGGGACAACTCTTCTCAGACTACGTGGGCAGTGAGTGTGGCCAGGCTGTGGGGCAGGCAGAGGCAGCAAAAGGGGCCCCAGCCCACCTGCCTATCCACCTCTCCCCTCCCCCCAGGTCCCATCACTTGCACCTGCTTCAGCCGGGATGGCCAGTGCACCCTGGTGTCCAGCTTGGACTCCACGTTGAGGCTTCTAGACAAGGACACAGGGGAGCTGCTAGGGGAGTGAGTCCTTGGGGTTGTGGGGCCCCTCCCCCTCCCCCCGCCTTTGCCCCTGGTAAGGCCCGAGCCCCACTGATTCCATCCACCCCCAGGTACACAGGCCATAAGAACCAGGAGTACAAGCTGGACTGCTGCCTGAGTGAGCGTGACACGCATGTAGTCAGCTGCTCCGAGGATGGGAAGGTGTTCTTTTGGGACCTGGTGGAAGTGAGCCTCCCCACCCCCACACTGCACTGTCCCCACTTTGCCTTTACCTCAGTCATTCCCAGACCGGGAAAAGGGAGTGCTATTAGAACAATGGCTAGGAGTGAGAGGGCAGGAAAGGCATTCCAGCAAAGGGAACAGTATGTGCTAAGGCTTCTAAGTGTGGCATGCGATGGTCAGGAAACAGCAGCACTTCAGGGTGGCAGTGGCAGCAGCAGGAGCCACGTCAGGCAGGGCCACCAATGCCAGGCTGAGCCACTGGGACTGACCTTGAGGGTGGGGGAACCAACGGCGACGTCTATCCTGGGGAGATGAGGCTGTAGTTGTTCAGGAAACCTGAGCTACTTCTGAGCGTCCCTGTGGTTTCTAGCCCCAAGCCCTGTGAGCTGTATCCTGATGTGTCCCAGCCTGGTGGTGGCATCAGGCTGAGAACAGATAGGCTGGGCTTACGGGATTCAGGGCTGGAGAGTCTCATGGAAGATGTGGGTGCTGGGGTTTGGCCAGGGGAAGTCAGTCCCTTAAGAGGATGGAGGGAACTGGGGACCTTGGGAACTTGAGGGGGACTAAGAAAGAGCCAATATTCTGCCTACTTCTTAAGGATCTGATAGAGCAGAGGTCACACTGAAGGAAGGGGCCTCCTTGAGAAACCGTATGTGTGGAGCTGCTGTGTCTGCGGGTTGATGAAGGAAGTGCAAACACTGATGCTGCCAAGTAGAGCCCCTATGGCGACAGGGAGAGGGCAGCTGAAAGCCGGACATAACGGCTCAGAGCGGGGTGGTGGCCTCTGAGTATAGTCTAAAGCAGTGGTCGCCAACCTTTCGGACCTCACGGACCACTGCTGGTCTAAAGGCAGAACCAAGAGGATTTACAGATAAAGGGATGTGAGGTGTGAAAAAGACTCCCAAGGTTTTGGCTTGAACACCTGGAAGGACGGAGCCACTGAGAGGCTCATTTTGGGGCAGCCTAGTTTTGCAGTGACTGGAAAGCCATTAGAAGCAGATGGCTGAAGGTCCGGGGATGGGAGGCTCATGATAACTGCTCCCCCCTCCTTGTTCCACAGGGTGTCCTGGCCCTGGCCCTGCAGGTGGGGCCTGGTGTGGTGCAGTCACTGGCCTACCACCCCACAGAGCCCTGCCTGCTGACTGCCATGGGGGGCAGCATCCATTGCTGGCGGGAAGAGGCCTACGAGACTGAGGGTGGCACAGGTTGAGGCCAGGGGACCCACCACCACTAAGGACACAGATGCAGACTCTGGACCACTGAGACCATTTATTCCAGATGTGCTACTGACCAAGGAGTGGGGGAGGGGCCGGGTCTGAAAACAAATAAATAGGGGGAGGGCCACCGCTGTCAGTCTTTGTTCTTCTCAGGCATGAAGGCATCTACCTTCTGGGCAAAGGTTTCAGCCACAAGCAAGGGGAAGACCAGGGAGGCATCAGCATAGACCTGTGGAGGGGACCCAGGTAACCACAGGACCCAGAGCTATAGCTGGGAGACCCTACACCCCAGCAGGCTGGCTGGCTCTCACCTTGACAGGCTCTGCATCCATCTTGATCTTGCCCCAAGAGACAGCTTCGTCCGGCCGGGCACCAGAGTCAGAGCCATCAAACTCCTGGGCCGTGTTGATGTAGACAGCATAGTCAGCCCCATTCCGCTGCGGGCGGGGAGACAGACAGACACACACATATAGAGGCAGGCACTGCAGCTAGAGAAGCTGAGCCATGTGTCCTAGATAAAGGAGGGCCCCTTGGTGGCCCCTCTCTGCAAGGCTGGGCAGTTAGGGGTTGGAGAGTTACTGGGCAAATGATAGGTAGTATTGCCCCAGACCAACCTCCTAGAGAGCAATAACCCTCTCACATCTGCCACCAACTCTATCTTTATTTATTTTTTAATATATTTTATTGATTTTTTTACAGAGAGTTAGAAACATCAATGAGAGAGAAACATCGATCAGCTGTCTCCTGCACACCCCCTACTGGGGATGTGCCCACAACCAAGGTACGTGCCCTTGACCGGAATCGAACCTGGGACCCTTCAGTCCGCAGGGGCTGACAATCTATCCACTGAGCCAAACCAGTCAGGGCTCACCAACTCTATCTTTAGAAGACCTCTGAACCCAAACACTTCTTCCCTGCCTTGGTCTCTACCCTGGTCCTGGCCCTAGTTGTTCCCCCTGCAGCAGCCAGAGGGCACCTGTGAGCACCTGA